CGGGCGCTGTCACTTCAGCACCAGGAAGTAGGTGGTCCAGCCGGCCAGCAGCAGCGCCCCGATGAGCACGGTGTAGCTGAGGAGCACGAAGGCCAGCAGCTCTCGCAGCAGCTGCAGCACGTGGATGGTGGACGAGGCCGGCATCGTCGTGCGCGGGAGGCCCGAGGACCTGCGGGGCAGAGCACTGGGGAGTGCCTGAGCGCGCAAAGAGGACGGTCCCCCGGAAGCCCGCCCCCCCAACACTGGCCACCAAGCCAGCGCTGCTGAGCCAGGAGTGCTGTAGGCAATGTGGACACAGGAAGCTAGGCTAGGTCCTGCCCCTCAAAAGAGTAAACACGCTGTCCTAAGGCTGAGGAAGCCCAAAGTACTGATTTTCTCCCTAACAACCAGCTGGACGCCCTCTTTGCATTTCCACCATAGAAGTCTTTTAAACCAAAAGTTCCCCTCATTCTTTGGCTCCTAATCTGGATCTGGGTTCTGAGGAGAGAGAAGCCTGTCTCTTCCCAGCCTCAGCTGCTGCATTAGTCTTCCTCCCTGGCCCTCTCTCCTCCCATCCACCTCCTGCATTTTTAATGCTGTGAGTGCTGCTAATGGCCTGGTGGAGTAAGGCTTTCTTTTCCCATCACTCAAGCTGCAGCCCCAGCTGTCGGTGCTGCCTGGGAAGGGAAGAGGAGAGACCCATTCGGGTGGGAGAAGACAGCAGGCCCTCACTGAAGCCCCTCTGCAATTCCCTGGACCCCAAGGCTTGACAACATGGAGAGTTTGAAAATGTTTGCCTTATGGTCCAGCACGCTTGCCCTTGTGGGAAGCCAGTATTGCAGGAGTGCCAAGAGGTGGGCATCAATTTGATTCTGGGCTTCTCTCTTTCCCCACTGTGCTCCTGTGCACCTGCTCCAGTCCTGCTATCTTCCAACCACAGACGGAATCTCAAGGCAACAATCACAAACCAGCTCTTTCTCTCCATTGGTGTCCTGTCCAGCAACTTCCCTCAGGGCCAGCCACTAGCTTCCTTCTCTCCCCATTTCACTCACTCAGCTAAGTTTCCACGACTCCTCTGCTGCAGCAGCTCCCCGGTTCCTCTCCTGGTCTGGAGTCTGAAGGTAGGCTTGTGCGTACTCCAGCAATCTAGGCAGAGCTGTGGGATATTCAGGCAGCAGCTGCGCTCACCAACTAGGTGTGGTCTAGAGACCAATCACAGTCTCCACGTGGTCCCTGAGCAATCAGGGAGCTGCGCACAGCCCATCCCAGGCCAGGCAACCCTGGCAACCCTGCCTGTTTTACCACCACAGCCCACAGGCTCTAAGGATGCCTGCAAAGCTCCTGACTCAGAGGGGCTGAACAAGTGGTACACTAGGGGATTTTTCATGCCCCTTCTTGTCTTGCTTTTCTCAACACTGCGGGTGGGATACAGTCCAAATCCTTTTCTAACAAGCTCACATTGAGGAGCCCCATCCTACTCTGAGTCTCAGACTAGAAGAACCATTATACAAATGACTTTCACTTATGACTGTCCAACTACTGCATGGGCTGTTATCTTAAAAAACATGTAAGTGTGAGCATGCATGTATGTATGTGAGAAACAGGAGCTTAGAGAACCAAGAGCTCCTGAGTGCTTGATTCTGACAGAGTTTAGCAGTTAAGAGATACACTGTACAGTCACCTTCCCAATGAGCCCATTTCCAATTTCAACTTCCAAGCGTGATGCAAAAAGAGCAAGTTAGGATTTCAGCAAATAAAGAACAGACCGTTTCCCAGATGTAACAATGAAGAAAAAGCACAAACTTTATGCTGTTTCTGATTATTTTGCTTTTTGTTGTAGTTTGTGATTAAAGACTGGGTTTTTTTGTTTTGGGTTTTTTGGTTTTTTTTTTTTTTTTTTTCCCTGACCTTTAAAATAGCAGGGAGTGTGGACATCAACCCTTTTTTATCAACATCATCATCCAGAAGCAAATGGCTCCTTAATTTAATCAGGGTCTGTTATTATCAAATCACTGCCCCGGCCACAGCCCTGCTGAAAACAGGAGCAGAACATTATCAAGCTGCTCAGGAAGCCAGTGAGTAGTAATTGCTCCCCCAGAGAATTGGTCATCTGAAGGGCTTCTATGTCCTGCCTAGTCACAGGAAAGAAAGTATGCCTAAGATTTATACCCTCACCCCACCCCAGAGCAACAGATGAAGAAGAGAGGCTCAGTTCGGTCGGTTTCCACTCCCACGTCCTTCAAAAGGATGTCTCAGGGCAGTTAGGTATTCCAGCCTCTGCAGGCTCTAGTTACCACACAGTAACTGAAGCTAAGAAACATTATGTGGCTTAAAATTCACAGGTGTTCATTTAGAAGTAAGAGCAACTGAGAAAGTTTACATTATTTGCCTTTGACAAAAAGGCATTCTCTATTTTCTGTAGCAGGTCAGTAAGCCTATGACTGTATAACACATCTGGCTTTAGAGTACAATTCAGTCTCTCCATGATTCACTCTACAAGATGCTGCATTTCTACGCCTTGCCATCCTTACCACAGTCCCTCTTCCTAGCTGCTTTAGACACTCAGTTCATTTGGTAGTTTTTTTTTTTTTAAAGTATTTCTTCTTGAATTTCTGCTGAACACAAACACTTCCGACAGGCCAATCTTTAACGTACAACTGAGAACAAGAGAAGGACCAGCATGTCACGGTTAACTGTAATCCATTTCTAGTGAGGGTAGAGCTAGAGTGCCCAATCCCTTCCCAGTGCTCTTTAAGAATTAAATGTGCTACTTTTAATATTCCTCCTTTTAACCATTATAGACACACCTCATCTTACTGCACTTTGCAGATAGTGCGGTTTTTACAGATTAAAGGTTTGTGGCAACCCTGTGTTGAACAAGTCTGTCAGCGCTGTTTTCCCAACAGCGTTTGCTAACTTTGTCACATTTTGGTAATTCTCGTATCTCAAACTTTTTCATTATTATTATATTGATTATGGTGGTCTGTGATCAGTGATTATAATTCACTGAAAGCTCAGGTGATGGTTAGCATTTTTTAACCATATTCTTTAATTAAGGAATATACATTTTTTTAGACACAATGCTATTGCACACTTAGGAGACTACAGGATAGTGTAAACATAATTTTTATATGCACTGGGAAACCAAAACATGCATTTGACTCGCTTTATTGCAACATTCACTTTATCGGGGTGGTCTGGAACCAAAGCCACAATATCTCTCTGTATGCCTGTATTCTCTTGCTCTACAGTTAAACTACAATTCAAATACTTCTCTGTTGGCTAAATTCAAAAGTGTATAGTAAGACACAGAACAGTGCCTATGTAGACTTCTTTATCTACATAGACTTCTTTTTTATGGAGTTGCCAGTGTGGCAGAACTGTCTACCTAACTAGACAAAAGTCCAGACATGATGTAAACAATCCGCCCTCTCTAGGAATAAATGTACCATTCACATACCCTTTCTCAGTAAGGGCATACTCCTTCGAGACAAAGGCTGCTTCAAGTATTAAGTGAACTTACACAAAGGCGTATAATATATAATTATCCACCACTTTCTATTTGCATACAAGTGAAGCAATTGATGTTTTTTAAGTCTTCTGCTAAATGCATTTTAGGAGCTGACCTGACTATGCTCTGAGCAAGCAAGTATAAATTCCCAAGTGAATGTAGACACGTGAGACACAACTGAGTATCTGTTCATAGGACAAAAACCCCAGCCAAGGAGACCTGACCAGACTTGAATTGAATCCCATGAGCCAAAAACATTTGAGGGACAAGGTGGATTTCATTCTCTAGGCGGCTGAGGCTGACAACAGCTGGGGCTGGAAGGTATAAACTAATCTCCCTGGAATAACAAGTATTTAAAAAAGGATTTTCTAAAATAGGCATAGTTTTTTTAAAGACCGTTTTCCAAATACTGAATGTCAAGGCCAAATTGAATGCATGAGAAGCAGATCTCTTAAATATGACCTCTTCTACTCCTCACTCTTAAAGACAGCTTTTTTTGATTATAGAATTTCTCTTTCATTCATAGCATGCAATGTGCTACCAGAAATTCACTCACGAAACAAAATGAGAATAAAACATGTGGTTACTGATAAACAACAGAGGCCACACCTCCCCTGAGGAGGGATGCTGACCTTGATCCCCCAACAAAGGGGAGACTTGGGCAAGGGCTACGAAGCCATCCATTTGGTCCCCTTCTTGGATTTAACTTCCAGATATTAGGATGGAGCAGGAGGGAGGCAGGGAACACACGCAGGTTTCCAGACTCTCGACCAATACCCTGCTCCTCTGCCCCACAGGCTAACCGTCTCCTGCAGGAGCAGCTGCAACTGCTGGACTCCAAGACCATCGATGAGCTGTCCCAGAGAAGGCTGAGGTCACCGGACCAGGGACTGCAATGGAGCGGTATGTTTCCAAGCAAAACAAATGCAAGAGGCTGAGTGTGGAGAAGTACAGGCGACAGTTACTGTGGAGGTGGTGTCGCCAAATGCTGAAGAAGCAAGAGTCATTGCTGTTCACGGTGGGACCAGCTGGTGCTGGGGCCCATGATGGGTGGGGAAGAAAACCGACGCCTCAGTGGAGGCATCTGCCATGGAAACGTCGTGGAGTGAACAGCACGTATGCTCAGAAAGTGTCTTTGAATAGTGTTTAAGAAAATTCTCAGGAAGCTGCTCCCCAATCCTCACGTTCCTCAATGTAAAAAGCCCTTGATAAGTATGAGACCCATGGAAATTTAGCTGGTCAGATGAACTTTGATTTGGAGAAAGAAGTCCCTCCACCCCTCTTGCTTTATAGAAGCAGAGGAATTGAAAGCAGAAGGAATCAACACTTGCCTTAGTGATCACCTAAGACAGAGGCTGAGGACACCAAATATAATGTGCCATACTCTGCAGGAAAAAGAAATCTCAACTCAGTGACAGGACCAGCTCTTGCCCCAACACCCAGCCACTGCCCCAGGCATGATGTGCCTTCAAGAAAGCACTATTTATTAGGGGTTAGACTTCCCACTTTTCATTTTTACCCATCAGTCTCTGCCTTCCTATTTTAAGAACTGACCTCATTTGTGCAGCTGTATAAGATTATCCATCCCCACCATCCTTAATACGTTGCCAGAGGTCTCTAAGGAAGACCCTGAGCTTAGAACATGAACAACTGGTGTTTCTGTTAGCCAGGTGGATTCTCTTCTATTCTTTTTCTTCAAGAAATTAGAAACACAAAAGAGAAGCAGAAAGGAGAAAACAGTGTAATTGAAGAGGCTGACCCCCGAAGTAAATTCTGTATTCTTCTGTTACTCTTCAGTGGGGTTTCACTTCCTTTTGGCAGCTTCTCCAAAGGAGCAGTTTATTTTGCAGTTCATTCAAGTCGACTTGGATCAACCTAGAAAGGTTTCTCCATTAGAGACTCTATCCAGCTGGCCCCATTCATTAGCTTAGTGGTGGCAATGACATATTCTGTACCTCCATCTTCCAGCTGGGAGAGAAATCGCAAGGCCGCGATTTCAGCAAAGGTTACGCCCCCAAGGAAAAATATCAGAGTGACTCGGTTTTCTCCTGGTTGACCTAAAAGGGAAACATTTCAGAATTAAGAATTATTATGGGTGCTTCTCCTCCCATGTCTTAAAAAACTACATCATGGGGGCACGTGGGTGGCTCAGTTGGTTGGGCATCCAACTCCTGGTTTCAGCTCAGGTTACGATCTCATGGATCGTGGGTTCGAGCCCAGGCGTTGGGCTCCGCGCTCAGCAAGGAGTCTGCTTGTAGATTCTTTCCCTCTGCCCCTCCCACCACTCACTCTCGAACGTGTGCTCTCTTCCTCTCGCTCTCTCTCTAAAAATAAATAAATCTTTAAAAAAAACCCCGCATCACTGGGGCGCCTGGGTGGCTCAGTCAGTTAAGTGTCTGCCTTCAGTTCAGGTCATGATCTCAGGGTCCT